AGAAAATATTGCCCACACGAAATCAAATATAACCTATGTTGTATGTGTTCCAAGTTAAATTATGCATAATCCTAAAGATGTGCACACAAAACAAACAAAACTCTTCAATACCTAAAAGCAACACTGGGAATCTTAATTTATTAAAAAAAAAAACTTTGCTTAAAAGTAAACATATATGTTGATTCAACATAATCCCTTGTTGATAGGCCTTTTGTAAATTATTGCACCTTCTTGGGTGTGAGTCTAAACACTTGGAGAAAAAAGAAGTAATCAGCAGTCCCTAGATATACTGCTAAAGCTGAATTTCAAACAATGGTTCAAAGAATCTGTGTACTATTCTATATGATTTTGGAATAAATTAGGAAAATACTATAAAATTATACAACGATAAATACTATAATTTTATATGACAATAACAAAGCAGCCATCAAAATCACACACAATCAAGTCCAATAGGACTGAATCAAACCAATAAAAATTGATCAATCTTTATCAAAAAATTAAAAAGTTGGTTGATATATACTTGTATGTCTAAGACACAAGCAGTTGGCTGATGTCATAACCACATAACTACTGAGCTCTATATTTTAGAATATTACCTCCAATTTAAATTAAAAAGTACCTACTGTATAGCTTGAGGACTATTGGCGATCTTAGGCCAATCAGACAATCTGTGGGGTTGCAAGTTAGAGGTCCATTATTGTGGACAAGGTGGCAGTCTATGAGCCTTGATAGGGGTGAATATCTCACAAATTCATGGGGAATAAATGTTAGCAAACTGTAGTCTATCTTCCTTATTTTCATGACTACAAATTTAGAACATAGTAAATTTTTACATATTCTATCCTAGGAATTCTCATGTAAACACTATTTGATTAGTAGCTTCCATATGTAGATATTACCAAAAGTAAGCTAAAATCATATCGTATAAAGAGACGAGTAAGACCTTCAAGAAAACATACACAAAATTGAAATCATGGTTTCTCTCTTTAGATGTTACTTTCATTGTCTCTCTAATATAATTATTTATCCATCTATTTAATTAAGCACAATAAATTATATTAATATTTTTTTTACTATTTTATGAATTATTTCATATAGATTAGAATTTTGGATTATTTTGTTAGGATGAATTATCCTGTTGGAAAATTTTAGATTCAAATTTCAATTGTTTGGGAATAGATTTGATATCAAATGTTAACTTGATATGATCTTGTAACCCTAATTTATAAACAAGAGATTCATGAATTGTATTGGGATCAGATGATTGAAATTAAATCTTCCCCTCTATCCTTTCTTTATATCACTCTATTGGTGGGACTTCAATCCTTTTGTATTCTCTTTATTGCCAGTTCGATATTATTTGGTATCATGATTGAATTTTCTTGCTCATTCGTTGTTTCTCATGTCATCGTCTCAATCACCTGCATCCCACAAAACTGCCCTTGCAAATGTTTACTGGCTCATGATTGATGCTGTCCGCAAAAGAGCGCGTATGTAATACCCCCCCCCTCTCTCTCTCTCTCTCTCTCTCTCTCTCTCTCTCTCTCTCCCACGAGCCCTCTCATTGGAAGCTTATTCACTAAAAAATAGCTTGCATGTCTCCCACTACCACCTTCTCCCATGTAATGATTACAAGATGAAATTAAGTTTACAGCCTTCCATCACATGTTTAACCTTCCTTCGTATCAAAGAAATGGCCATGACAAAGTCAATCCTTAGAAAAATTAAGGATATAGAGAGGGGCTTTGGCTCCTCATTGTTCATACAATCAAGCTTGAAGAGATATTAGGCAGTCGCGGAGAGTGAGAGAGAATACTGGAGTGTTAGGATTATGAGAGAAAAGAGGAAGAAGGGTGGTCAGGAAAGCCTAGAGAGTTAACATGCTCCTCAATTTTGAAAAAATCCAAAAAAATTCATTGAAGCTCGTTCCATGGTCTGCCACTGAAAAATATGTAACTTTGTTTATTTTCAAGCATGTTTTATATAATTCAACTCTCTAACATTATGATGCTTATCCAATTAAAAGAAGATGTGTGTACATGCCTAATATATAAGTTTAGTTAAAACATTGCTCATTCAATTAATGAAAACTTGCAATATTGAATAAACTCGATCAACTTTTACATGCAATTTAATACACTGTGTTCATAGACAAACCCATATAAGCAAGTCTTAGACTAAGCGTAACATACAAATGAGAAGATCTCAAAATTCTTATGAGATCTACATGACTATTGTTGGTAGGTGATGATGTGTTGAGTCGGGTCACAATGCCTATGTGGTGGATCTGCCTGCAGATTTCAATATTAATCCATCTTTTAACATTGAAGATTTAGTATCCTATATGGGTCCAGAGTTTAACCCACATAATCTACTACAAACTGAGCCTTGTGTGACCCCACCCTGTGAGAACCCAAGTCTTCCTCCACTTCCAATTTTTTTCCAAAACACCTATTACGGAGAAAGTTTACATGATTTTAAACGATAACATCATTTTCATGAAAGTGGGTGGACGAAGAAGATATTTGGTAAGGTGGAGAGGTAAACCAGAAACAGAGAACACTTGGTTAGAGCGCGAGAAGCTCCAGCGGATTGACCCAGATGCACTAGAGATCTATGAGAGCACCCGGGATGCATACTCGACGGAGTCGAACTCTTTTCCACTACGGGAGAATAATGAGGACATCCGACCGTAGAAAGTTTATCAAAGAAAGGGCCGAAGATCTACGACTATTATTGGACCACTTTATTTCTGAGCATTTATTTGTATTTGATTTTTATTATGTATTTTTCTATTTTTACCCTCACTTGAGGGAGTAGGCTTATGTGACCCCAGGGGCACTTCTGTCATTAGATATTTTATTATAAGTCGTCTATTTATAGACCTCTCCTCTTCTTTGGAGGGGATGATGATTATTATGATGAAAAATTTCTGCACTTTATTTCTTGGAGAGTTGTGAGAGTTCTTGTGAGAGCTTGAAATCCCTTGGTGAGGGCAAATCACTACCTATCAGCCGCTAGAAGCGTCCGGGCTCGTGGTTTATCTCCACCTCCAATTCATCTTGATATTTTTTCCCCTAGCCGTTGGCCCCTCCATAACACATCCCTTGACCGACTACCACCCCAAGCCGCCGCCCCCTTCCCTTCCTAAATCGCCACCCACCCTTCCCTCCCCTTGGCCAATTCCCCACCCTAACAATTGACCACTTCCTCTCATAGCCACCGGCCACCCACCTCTCCCCATTGGCTCCAAAATTTCAAACCAAGTAATCAATAATTTCCAAACTTAGTGCATCATAAATTTAGAAAGATGTAAATTCATACTTTAATTTACTTAAATCTGAAATTTCTTTCTTAAATGAGATGAGTGATGTTAGGAAAGTTCCCCATTAATGATAGTTTGAATTTTGAATAGAGATTTGCCCTAAATCTCCTTTCCTCATTTAGTATTCTAAAATTGACAACTCCTTTAAATCCTCTAATTATTCCATCTCCCCTAGTCCTTGCCGTCTAATTATTCCACCTCCCCTAATCCTTGCCGCCCCCTTCCCCGCTTTCCACAATTGTAACCTTTCCACTTTGAGTTCAACAATCAGCCCCTCCATCAAGGTTTGCCGCCCCTCCCATCTCTCCTTATTTTGGGGTCATTCAAATTCAAATTCCTCCCAATCACTCCCCCTATTTAAAGCAGCCATTAAATCCCAATCAATCCAGATTGATTCTTTTCTTAATTTGCATGCCACCTAGACAAGAAATCAATTCCATAATTTTGTTAATTGCTGGAATTAAATTCCGAACTTCTAAATTGTTGTCCATGCCTTATTCTACCCTCCAAATTTGAAATTAAAACTCACCTATCTCTGCCCCTCTATGGCCGGCCACATCCCCCCCCCTTCTCCATGGAATATTATTCTTCCCTCCCCGGGCCTACTACACCTCCACCCACCCTCTCTACACCTAGTCCTCGACTTGAAGATCCCACTAAGCAAGAATTATCAAACCCTTTTGATTGAGTCACGAAGTGAAACCAAACCATCGACAGCCAGATTCTAGCAAATGATCGAACAACCATCAGAAACACGAGGACGGTAAACCTTTTTTTTTACTTTATACCTTTTTTATTCCTTCTCAATCATGGCATCGCTTGATCATGAAGATTTATCCGCATAGCCCAAATCAAGAGTGTGTATGAGTGGATCTATATAGTGACTATTCTAATTGTTAAATTAGGGATTCTCTTTAAAAGCCTCACATTAGCATGGTATGATTTAATTTGATTATTTGTGATCCTAATGTTATCATGTAATTGATTGCCTGAGCTTAATCACTATCTTGTTGGCTTTAATCTTTCGCTTAGATACGTGGGAAGTTAATGAATTATTAAAGTTCTATTCATAAGCATGTAAATTTCAAATTCACTAAATTTACATATGCATGTCATCCTACATCACAAACTTTGTCAAATCTTTACCACAATTAGGTTCAGTTAAAAAGTATCACTTACATGTGATGTCCTAAAGGTCAGTGATCATGAATCTAATTTTGAGCCACTTCAAGGTCATCTTAAAATTAAATACTCCATTTTGGTTTGTTTGCTTCCATTATTTAATGTAATGTTATTAGAAGGAAGTAATTATTTGATTTGCTAACATTTTAAATAAATAATATTTAAATGATATGTAGATTCTAATTGATGAAATTCAGACGTAAACTACAAGGGGCAACATTCAAATGTAGGTTGTCTGCATACTGAAAAAACATAATACATAGCAAATAAAACTGAAACAAGCAAAGAGAAACAATTACATCTAAGCAAAGAGAAACAATTACATCTTAATAACACCAAAATCTTTATAATATTGAGCAAATTAAAACCTGGATAACATGTACAAAAAAGATTTCAACTTTTTATTAACACCAAATAGCAAACAAAATGTAGAACTTTGCTTTTGAATAACAACAAAGCTGATAATGTACCACAATAAGCGATTAATTACCAATCCATCAGTATTGTTAAAATAATGCCTCCACAAAGGCCTTAGCTTCTCTTGCCCACCTACATCCCAGACTGTGAAGATCACATTTTTATATTGAACTTTCTCTACATTGAAACCTACATTAAAAAAATAATAAATAAAACATAAGACCTAATAACAAGTTTATTAAACAAAAACATAAGTCGGAAAGAATCTATGCACATATTCATGTCAGAAAGTTTTGCTGCGTTTGTGAATGTAAATTCATTGCGTAAGGTTGATGGATAATTCTTAGTTGTTGCTTCTGATTTTTTTTTATTTTTGTTATTAACAATAGAGGTGGAATGCATGTGAAAGAAACATTGGATGATAAATCATCTTAAATTGTAGAAGAGATTCTAATTCATTAATCAAATGCAAGACTTAAAATTCTAGGAGATCGCCCTGTTTAAGTGTGAGGTTTTTTTAGTGATTTATTTCCCTTTTTTTTCCTTTTCTTCCCCTTATTGTGAATCATTTTCTTTTCATGATTGGTTGTAAGGGAGATTTAAGTTTTGTAGGATTAGAATTCCTTTCAATTAAGTAAGTTGTATGCTTGTTTGTAGCTTTTGTGATCCGTAATATTTTCTTCATAAATTCTAGCACAAATAGTGGTTTTGGATTAATAACTTGAGTCATGAAATTTTTTTTTTAGATGTTTGTTGAATTATTTTGTGCATCACATGTTATATCCATAGAAATCATAGATCCTATGACATCCTGAAAAGCATAAAATTTACTACAAAATTAATCTTATAATTCATGCACTTAAAGGAGACAGTTTTTCTTGGACTTCTTCTTAAATACAGATTCATTTACCCGTAGACTAGCCTTATCATCACCTTCAATTTTAGAGGGTTAAGCTTATTTAAAAAGGGTTTTAACATGATAAGTAGAAGAAAGAAATAGGGGAACAAACAAACAAACAACAACAAGCCTTTATCCCACTACGTAGAGTCGGCTACTTGAATCATTTTTCTCCATTGTGTCCAATTAGGGGTGCAACCGAGTCAAGCCGGCTCGAACTAGACTTGGTAATCGGCTCGACGAGTCGAGCTTATCGAGCTCGCGAGTCTAGCTCGAACACAGTTTCGAGCTCGAACGCTTATCGAGCTCGAGCTCGAACAGACGTCGGACTCGACTCGTCGACTCGACGAGCAGCTCGGCGGAGCTAGCGGGCGGAAAATCCAATTTACAAGCGGGGAAATCCAAACCGTGAGCGGGAAATCCAAACCGTGAGCAGGAAAATCCAATTAGCGACTCAATTTGCGACGTTGTTACGCTCGGTGACGAGTCGACGACGGCATATGCGACGTCTGCTTCTCTGGCTCTCTGCGATGGACAATGGAAGCGGACGACAACATTGTGAGAACGACGTCTTCGACGTCTGCGACGGACAACGGCGAGAGTCTCAAGACGTCGTTGGACAGACGACGACGTCTGCGATGGACAATGGAAGCGGAAGTGGAACTCGATGACGGCATGGGGTTGGGCGGAAGCGAATCTGCGATGTCTACGACGGACAAAGGCGACGGTCGAGCGATGGGGTTGGACGGACGGCGATGTCGTCCGACGCTGGTGAATACGGCTCGATCTCCCGTGACGAGAGCTCGACGAGCTCGCTTTTTTTCTGTTGAGTCGAGCTAGAGCTCGACTTTTGAGCTCGACTTGAGTTCGAGCTCGAGCTCGGTTTTCGACAGCTGGGCTCGACTCGAACACCCCCCGACTCGAGCTCGACTCGACTCGTTTGCACCCCTATGTCCAATTAATAGTTAAATTCTCATGTAAATCTAATAAAAAAAATATCATTTCTAATACGTTCTAACCAAGCCTTTTAGGTCTACCTTTATCTTTCTTACTATGGGTCAGATCTAATACATCTACTCTTGTAACTAGGTCAAATGAGAGCAAACGTTTTATGTGTCAAACCATCTAAGGAAACTCTTTAATCTTATCTACCACTGGATTCACTCCAACCTTTTCACATATATACTCATTTCATATTCTATCTCTAAGTATAAAGCTACTCATCCACCTGAGCGTCCTCATATCTGCAACACTGAACTTTATGCTTACCTTTTAATGGCCAACATTCTGCGTCATAAAGCAGTGTAGGTTTCACCAGCATCTTATAAAATTTTTCCTCAAGTTTGAGGGGTTCTTTTCTATCATACAACAGGCCCAATGCATTCCCCCACTTCAACCATCCAACTTAGATTCTATTAATAATATCCACATCTATTTCACCATTGCTTTGAACAATAGACCCGACATATCTAAAAAGAGTACTCTTTTTAATGACTTGATAGCCTGAAGTGACAATAAACCCACTAGATCTATTACTACTAATACCCCATGTATTTGATTTTAGATCTACTCGAATTAAAACCTTTAGACTCTAAGATTGATCTCCATAATTCAAGTTTCCTTCAAGTCCCTCTCTAGTCTTATCAACAAGAAGATATCATCAACAAAAAGCATACAACATGGTACAACTTGCAAATGTCTAGTAAGAACATTCATGACTAAACCAAAAAAATATGAGCTTAAAGTTGATCCTTGATGTAATCCAATTAAAATAGGAAAATATTTGGTCAAGCCACATTGTGTTTGAACACAAGTAATAGCTCATGTATACATATTATTAATGGCTTGAATATAAGCATTATTAACTCATTTCTTTTCTAGAACTCTCCAGAGCAGTTCTCTTAAAACATTATCATGTGCTTTCTCTAAATCAATAAATATCATATATAGTTCCTCCTTACTCTCTCCATACTCGTCCATCAAGCCTCTCAATAAATGTATAGCTTTCATAGTAGACCTACCTGGTATGAATCCAAAACTGATTTTGAAAAATATAGTATTATGTCGTAACCTATGCTCAATTACTCTCTCCCATAGTTTTAATGTATGCACATTAACTTAATTAACAAAATTTACCATTTGATTAATAATATAATAGCCTCAAACCCTAATTAAAAATCTCTTAAGTTACCTCAAATCTAAAAGCAACAGGGCAAAATCAAACAAGCAGAAATTCTTTAGCTGATGACCCCTCAAAACTTTGGTTTCAAAGCAGAAAAAGAAAACGAATGGGAGTATTATCTAAAACCATATAATGACTAAAGGCGATCTTTAAGCATTGAATACAAAGTTGCAATCAATAATAAATTGATAAGATAATTCAAAATTACATAAAATAGCAAAAGCTAAGCATCCAAAGGTCTAAGAAGAAGCAAATACTGGAATAATTGAATGTTAACAAGACCATCTACGACCATGCAATAAAACCCTCCTTAGTAAAAGTAATGTGTAACAGGCCATTTCAGATTTTTTTTCACAAGCTGCTACATAATATTTCAGTTGAAACTTCAGAGGTTGGAACCCTAGATAAATACATCTTTTCCGCCATCACTTTTAGACCTTTCTTTTGTATAGTTCAAGCAAATTATTGTAGGAAGATGATTACAAAGCCTAACGGATATAACAAATGAAAGCTTCTAATGCAGCATATGGTGCATAATGGTCAAGACTTCAGCTGAGAGTTAGTAGTAAGAAAGGCAAAAATGTTCGACAGAGCTAAATATGGATTTAATTTTGTAATCATACCAATGGTTGGAACCGTTGACAGAACTTCTCCAATGTGCAGCTTATACAATATGGTTGTCTTACCCGCTGCATCCAGTCCAAGCATTACAACCTACATGAGATGTTGGTAAAAGAACAAAAGTGCATTAAATAAAACACATAAAAACCTTCTTCACAACAGAAGAAATGAAAATCAGTAAAAAGATTTTTTTTTTTTTAATGACTTAAACATGATGAAGCTCCTCTAATAACACAGCCCAATCCAGAATAAAAAACCTCACGCCCAAATAATGAAGTAAGACAAGAAATACACTAATCATAAACTTGCTCTGGGAAGCATACATTTGAAATAATATTTTTTACTAATTTATTATGAAAAGGAAAAGCAGCAACAATCAACATTGCATAACACAAAAAATGTAAATAAGTTCTCTATACCTGAAATGCATATGCTGTCAAATACAAGATTGTACAACAACAACATCAAGCCTTTGTCCCACTACGTGGGGTCGGCTACATGAATCCTTTTTCTCCATTGTGTCCCGTTAAAAGTCAAATTCTCGTTTAAATCTAATAAAAATATCATTTCTAATATTTTCTAAGCAAATCTTTTTAGGTCTACCTCAAACTTTCTTAACATAAGTCAAATCTAATACCTCAACTTTCCTAACCGAGTCATTGGAAGGCCTCCGTTTTATATGACCAAAACATCTAAGGCAAGTCTCTCTAATCTTATCTTCCACTGGAGCTACTCCAACCTTTTCACGAATATGCTCATTTCGTATCCCATCTCTAAGGGTAAAGCCACTAATCCACCTGAGCATCCTCATCTCTACAACACTTAACTTAGTATTATGCTTCTCTTTTAATGGCCAACATTTGGCACAATAAAGCATCGCAAGTCCCACCACCATCTTATAGAATTTTCCCTTAAGTTTGAGGTGGACTTTTCTATCACAAAACAAGCCCGATGCATTCCTCCACTTCAACCATCCAACTTGAATTATGCCGATAATATCCCCATCTATTTCACCATTACTCTGAACCATAGATCCAAGATATCTAAAACGTGTACTCTTATTAATGACTTGATCGCCCAAAGTCACAATCCCCTCACTATGTCTATTGCTGCTAAAATTACACTTCATATATTCAGTTTTAGATCTACTCAAGCGAAAACCTTTAGACTCTAAGGTTGACCTCATAATTCAAGTTTACCTTTAACTCCCTCTAGTCTTATCAACAAGAAGAATATCATCAGCAAAAAGCATACACCAAGGTAAATCCTCTTGCAAATGTCTAGTGAGAACATCCATGACCAAAACAAAAAGATATAGGCTTAAGGCTGATCCTTGATGTAATCCAACCGAAATAAGAAAATACATGGTCAAACCACCTTGTGTTTGAATACAAGATTGTACAATGTAAAAAACATCAATAATCTGGCACAAATTCCAAAACAACAATTTACACAGTATTGCAAAACACTTAATACCAACAGCATGATTAAGTACTTCTAAGAAGTTTTGGACCGTTTAAAACCATTTGCTTATGCATTTACTCCACATATTTCGTAAGAAATGTGAACAAAAAAATAGCAATGTAAACAATACAAATAGATATTTTCATTCGGTAAAAAAAAAAACTATTTTATTCTTTTAACAAATTGCATATCATAATAAAAAAATTATTTAATTTCACAAACGATTGATATCTCAAAGGGATGCATTTACTGAAATGTTTAAACGAGAACAACTACATAAACATGTAATGTTGGAATCAAATTATAGTTGAGTTGTCAGAAGAATATGGCCAATATTTACCAATGGAACGTGTATCTGAAAGTACGTGAGAAGGGAAAAAGAAAGCAACTGCTGGAAAAGAGAAAATGTTTGTCTTCTAACTCGATTCCACTTCCCAAAAAATGGCTGATAAAAAAGGCAAGGATACCAACATTTTATGTTACTAAGTAGCTATTGCATATTGGAACTAGAATTCTGAAAGATCCATTTTCAAGCAAATCTGAGCACATTCCAAAGATGCGCCAAGTGATCTCCTATTAGCCCAACATGGCAATAACAAGCTTGAACTAATCTCGATTCAAGCAAACTTATTATGATCCATGTAATAACTCAAATATGTAAAATAAATTTATTTGAAAAACATGAAAATTCTGAAGTAGAGAGCTTTGACACTGATTTGGAGAGCACTAGGGGCGTTGAGCGATACACAGTATATATATATATATATATTCATGCCTCCCCCCACCGACTCCCTCACTTCGTTGCTTGTCCACAAAGAAATTGAAAGAGGAGAAGAAGAAAGAGGAGAGAGAAATGTCTTTGGATTATATTTATCAGTCATTCATATTACAGATTTTGTTCTATTATTTATAAGTGACTATTCTCTTACTTTTGTTTTCAATGATTATGATTTCTACGAATTTCCTCTCTTAAATATGCAAAAAAAGTATTATCTCCTGATTTCATAAGCTTTCACAGTGCAAGTTTGGATATGTTATAGATTTGATATAATTTTATTGTATTTTTAATGAAGAGTTGAATGATGTCACATACATGATATGATAACTCCACGTGATACCCTACTGATCCACGTGATTCACTGATTGGGATTCATAAGAAGCTGGTGACTGATTCACGTGATTCAATGGGAGTTATAAGGAGTACATTAATTGGGAGTCATAAGTGTTGGAGCAAGATACCCTTAAGATACACTCATAGAATATATGAATACTGATAAAAATATTGCTACGAACATTGTACTGATTTATGACTGGCACTAATACTATTTACAGTCATTAACAATATTTAACGTTATTGATCATGATATTAATGTTATTATTGTCATTAGTACTATTGATTGCTACTGATACTGTGACTGATGATGTAATGGATTGAGATGTGATGAAGTAGAGAATGATAAATTGATACAGATAATCAATATAAATATTGTTGCATACATTTCTTTATATGATTTATAGCATATTATTCTTTTTTATCTTACATTGATTTCAGTTGTAAGATTTTAGTTACTTTATGGGCTATGAGCTCATTAAATGGTTTTCCATGTTTTCAGAAAAGAATAAGGATCCTATGATATGAGGCTCCTGATGCATAATTTTTCTACTTGCAGTTTCAGACAAAATGTAATCATATATATTTTTTTTTGTTGTCCATTGGTAGGCTCTAGTTAAATGGATAAAATGAAAGACATATATAATTATTTTAATATAGATCCTAGAGTGTGACAATCCAAGCCAGTAAATTGATCAAATTTTCAGAATTTAAATCAAACTTTGCACAAATGCATGCATACAGACATTCATAGATATTCATATTTGGATGAATAAATACACACATAAAACAGAAATGCCAATTGCCAAATATAAAGGCAAACATATATGCCAACATATATGTGAACATAAAAATGCATGCTGATGAAAGGGGAAGAGAAAATGGTGGAGAATGTTACATGTAAGGATTTTGGTGAGATTTACAAAAACTTAAATGATGTTTATTTTTTGCTTAATAAAGACTACATGATCAAAGACGGTAGTATATTTAAGTTTACACTTTTTGTTTTCACGATTTATTATTGAGTATTTTTTTTATTTAGATTTACATGCTAGGGATGGTTCTCGTCATTTTGGAAAAGATAAGACTATTGCAATGATTGATGATAGATACTTTTAGTCGAGTCTCAAAAGAGAGGTATCATGTATTGGTTTATTATATAGGACTTGCTAGTTTGCTATGGGTTGAAGCAAAACATATGATTTTATACCCCTTAATTAATTTCATATAAACCTTGGGAACATGTTAGAATGGACTTTATAATGGGTTTAGAATAAATACTTAGAAAAAATCATTTTATTTAAGTTTATGGTGAATTGAAATCCATAAATACTTCCATTTGGAAACTTTAAGAAGCGGAATACAAGGAAAAATCATTTAAAATTGTTCAACACAATGGAACTAATGCCTACAATTTAGAAATTCCAAAAAATTATTCTATAAATCAATTTTTAATGCATCTGATTTGACTTTATTTTATGAGTTGACTGCCAATTTCTTTGATTTTGAGCAACATTCATTATTTAGTAAGAAACTTATATGAAGATTGTCTTTGAAGCTATTTCTTGAGGATGATTGTGTTCACTGTTCATTTCTCATGACGGCTTATAAATATACCACTTATTCTCTGGTGAAACAAATCTTATTATATTGATTAATTGATTTTTTCATAAGAGGCTTATAATTTTGGTCAAGATTTGCCTTGTGAGTAAAAATGCTAAATTTGTTGAAAAGAGTTGCATTTATTCTTATCACAAACATCACATCAAGCATAAATTTCTAATATGGTGTATATTTTCTTTTCTTTTTTTTTTACTCCATTTTGCCTATTATTTCCATTCTGAGAGCATATTACTGATAATGGAGGATAAGTGTTGTATTGACTAAGAAAGATGCTTTCTAGCTTTAGGTTAGTTTATTTGTTTGGTATGAATTTAGTCTTGATTTGATTAAGGTTACTTCTCCGAAAGGGTTGAAGAGGTTTTGATGGATTGTTATTGGGTTCGGCATCCAAATTTCATTTCATTAGAGTTGATTTTTCAAGCTGGGTAGATTGATAGAAGCTATTATCTAGTTTGTATTATTTAAGAAAAAAGAAGTAAAAAAAAAAATTCTATGCATAAGTATGAATCCCATATCTGTGGGATATAAAATATAAACTCTTATGGGTTTTTCAAGAACACAGCAATGCAGGTTGTTGGATTTGTGCTCTTCATACTTGGCCTTATCCATGTATGGCAATAGTGAGGTTTTTGCGAGCTTTATTTTTTTGGGCTTCACATTTTTGTTTGCTTGTTTTGTGCTTGTAGAGTGAAATTGGGGGGCGTGTGGCATTCAAAAGTAGCAATTCGATAGTTATTCACAATTCAGATTTCATCTAATTTTGGAGGGTACAAAATAAATAATCATATGTTTTGAGTGTAATATTAAATTCAAATTAATTTAAGCTTAGATTAAGGTCGATTCTATGTCATCCTTATCTATTAACCTAACTATGATGAGTTTATAAATAGTGATCCAAGGTATGTAGTTTGCATCTTTTAGCCTGTATAAATTTTCCCTTCCAATTTTCAATCTTTGAGTGTCAGTTGGATGCGTGATTCTTTCAAGTATGACTACGTGACTCTGGGAAGTCAACACTTCTACTACTGTGAGGCATTATTTTTCTCTTCTTGGTATTATTATTGTTTATTTACTCAGCATAATTTGTTATTGCTAATTTATTAGCTTGATTTTAGTAAAAAAATTACACTGTCGGAAATATGATTTTTTTTTAAATTATTTTTTTGCTCGTTGATTTTATATGTACGAACTCTTGCTAAATTTCTCAGATTTTTACAATTATTCTTTATAAATTGGGGTTAACTCTTCTATTCTTTATTTAGATTATGAGTCTTAAAAATAATTTTTCGCTCGTATTCCCCTCAATCTAACTTAATATTACCCACTCAAATCAATTTTTTAAAAAAATATATCACAACAACAAGCATATCATTCAAACGAGGTATAGGAAATTTACATTTGATAATGGTCTTATTAATGGGCCAAATATCAACATGGCTCCTTCAACTATCATCTCTCTCAAGTTTAAGCAAAGCAAGTGTGATACTGCAATGCAATATCTCATATTTTTCCTAATAAATCCCTTCTTAAGTAACTCATTCACATCTTTTTAATTCAGCATGTTATCATGGATTCATCCAATAATATGAAAAATTAGATAATGATAATTAAGGAACTAAGATAATAGTAGATTGTATATTCCTACTCATTAGAAAATTCACCAACGTCTTGAAAACCACCAATGCTTGTTTAACAGCATCAAGCAAAATCACAATTTTTAAGTTTCATATCAATTCCACAACTATTAAAGCATAGATCACACCCCTCTGCCTACTATTTCTTAAATGCATGTTTATAGAGAATGTTCCATAGTTTCATTTTCTTGGGAGCACTTAATTATTATGTAGATTTAGATTTTATATTTTGTAGTTTTAAAATTAATACTCTACCATTAATCTTAAAAGACTAGGTATTAAATCAATCAAAATGAGTCACATAGAGCCCAGGTGTACGCAAAATAACATGAGCAATATTCAAGGATAACACATCACATCGTATTTAATTCGAATTGATAGCCAATTTAATCGAAATTAGACACCTTCCACACATATAGCAGTTTTATCCACCGAAGCTACTTTATATGGTTGTAAATGTGGTTTAGGTTTCAAATACATGCGATATAAGGCACTCCTAGGCACAACACTAATATGACTCTCAGTATCAACTATAAGCTTGTAAAGCTTCAATTCCAATCAGACTCAATGTTAGCAGTAACTATGATACAACACATGGCATTAAAAGAATTATTCAATCAAGTATCCTTAAATCAACAATTTTTTTATCAAATTCATTAGCATCATCAGAATCATTTATTTTGTTATGTTCATCCTCTACATTTAAATGCAAGTTCCTACTAGGACATTTACTAGCATGATCATAAATTTGATGACACTTAAAACATTCCTTTGCAAAAATTTTAGACCCAAGTGCATTTTCTTGAGCATGAATATTGATTTTAGTGTTATAACTCTTAGCTACTATGAAAGCATCCTTGGATTACCACATACACATAGGACCCGCAATGCCTGAAACCTAATCCTCTCCGACTCCTCACACACTGCTGCATGCGTCTCCCACAAAAAATTCCTCCTCGCTACGTCATGGATTTGTGGGATTCTTTCTACCACCTCACAAAATCACGGGATCCTTAGTGCCACCTCAACAATCCATGGAAACTAACTAACTATACAAGAAAACATCTATGGTATGACATATAATAATTATTTTATAGTTATTTATTTTTAGTCCCTGGTTTTGTATAATTCCTATTAAAATATTTCCTATGGTGCAAGCTTTACGAATAGTTATCAATCAAACATCATCTGAGCTAAGGATCCACAATAACATGTATAATTCAAAAATTCAATTAATTAATTAATTTGTTAAAAACAAGACAAAATCAATTTTTTTTTTCAACAGGCAATCTAAAACACTGTTTCAAGAGAAATTTATTTTTTAGCCAGTATTTTTTCTCTGTTCATCCAAACATCCAAAATTTGCTTTTGATATTCAAGTAGAAGCGTGATTGGAACCTTATTCAAATCTGAATCCCTAATTGGATTGTAATTTGTCAAGAAACTATTCTAATATTAACAATTATAAATAAAATAATAGAAGAATACTCTGAACATGCTAAGCTGCCCATCCTTTTTTTTTTTTTCAAAGAAACAAAAAAACATAATTTCATCACTTATTGCCACAACTAAATATCAAAGAAGAATTCCACACTGCCCCCAGCTTACCATCAATAAATATCTAACAGGACAGTTGCCTTACAAAAGCTTTCACGGTATTCAAACAACTTCCAAACACAAAGTGCATAATACACTTCAGAAAGAAACCTTTTCATTCTGCTGTGAGAATTATTCACAATAAGGCGTCTCAGCTCACCCTAGTACAACAGGAGCTTGCCTATTTAAGGTTATAGGCACTGCCCGTTCTAAAAGAACAGAAGTACCAATGCAATCAATGGAGTACAAAAAAAAGTCAGAAACATTCATTACAGGAAAAAATTTAGGCAGAAGTATTATCCTTCTATTAAAAATTAACACGTGTAGATCAATCATAGTAGCAAAACAGAAAGAATTTCTTCACACATGTCCTCATAAATAAATAAACTTGCCAAGAATAAAAGAGATGTCCTCAAATAGTTACAAAGTTGATCAAATCCGATCTTCCTTTGGTCAGACTTACAATAGAGAGCCAATTCGGGATAAAAAAAACAAAAATAGTGTCCTCGATAAATCATCAAACAGCTAATTTCGCAAAAAACTGAGCAGGATGAGACTAGCAGGTTTTGTTTGAAAACTAGTCCAATCCAATACCTCAAGCAGCCGTAAAAGGGCATTCTAATCCGAAACCAATAAGGTTATTAGTCAATCAGTCACGCAGTCTCTAATATCAACCAAACGATACTAACTAAGCCAGTAGAATCAAATCCCGTGATGGAAAATAGAAAGCATAACACTTGAATCTTTATGTAACACCAAAATACAATTTTAGAAGGAAATATGATAACAATGGAACAATATAAAGCAAACCCTCATTTCTTTGTTGCCGAAGAAGGCATCAAAAAGCTTCCGGAAGGCTTGACCCATGGCCGATCTCTCGCTTATCCGCTCTTCCTAGCTCCGCAATCTATAATTTAAGCTAGAGATATCATGGCGGGTTTTTGTGAAGGTAACCAAGGAATCAAAGAAGAGGAAGACGGATATCTCGATCCGCCCTCGACGCTTTTTATTTAAGCTATTTAAAACCTTGCCGTCTTCTACAATAGCGACTGTTGATTGGCCACTATGTCCCTTCGACGAGGTCTAGCGGGGCTTCCTGGTCCGGTCTGATTGCATCGAAACCGTCCGATTTCAGCAGGAAGAAACAGGAGATGAGATCGACGGCCATGAATGAAAGTCTGATTTGAATTACATAATTCTTTATTATACTTGATTAAGGTTTTGTTTGGGACGGCTTTTTTATTGATTTTTAAAACGGAATTGTAGTACAAATTTTTTTAATTTTTGTATTAAAATTCCGTTTTCAGAAGCAATAAAAAAGCCGTCTCAAACGAAGCCTAATTGTTTCTTGGGTATGTAAACATAAGGAAATGTTCGTTCTTGTAAACAATGAAATACCACCTGAAGTACTGAATCTATTATGTTTTCATTATGTGTCTTATTTCTTTGGGATTATTTACTTTTATGTGTTTTTATAAAGAGTTTTAAATATATTTATAGTGCTTATTTTGAGGTTTTTTTTATTATTTGGATTAATTTCGAACATAATGTGTTGCAACCTCATTAATTCATGATGCCCCCATTGCAAACTCCCTCAATTCCAAGCTCTCATCACGATCTCCATTAATGCATTCCACAACTAGCTCCTTTTCTGATTTGAGCAAATGCTTATTGTAGCGAGCTTCCATTGTGATAAAGTATATTACTGTCTTAGTGAGCTCCCTGCCATGGAGAGATCTTCAGTAAGTCTCATGTGCAGCTTTAGCACTCCTTCCTACTACTAAGTCAGCTTAAAACACATACAATGCTTGGCTAGGCAACAAAGAATGCTAGAGAGAAGGTGAATGGGATAAGCTTCACTATTATAAGAGAATTCTTACAAGAGGAGTTGGAGGGAGTTGGAGGAGTTGGATTACAAATGAAGAGGAAGGGTTTTATTTATAGCCCTCCTCCCATGCTTAAGAACATTTTAGGTTTCCCTCCATAACTCTTGAATGTGGAGTTCTTTAAAACACTCTACATCAATCCCTATAATATACTTATATTACAATATGCTTGAGAGTTCTAGAGTATCAAACAGTATGCTCTTAGTCCACACCATTCTAGAATATTATAGAGTACTCTAGAAATTTTAAGAAATTCTAAGTCTTTCTAGAACTTTTCATAATCTTCTAAAACTTTCTAAGATATTCCAAATCCTTCTAGAATCATATAGAACCTTCCTTATTCTTCTAAAACCTTTCAATGTCATGTGACTCCATTTAGGAATGATTCTGGAGGACTACTTGGCCTCCGTTCGGCATGTCACGCCCAATGGATTTAGCCAAACCTCTTGCTCCAGCTTTTGGGCGTGACATCCTGCTATTGATCCACGACCGCAACCTCTTTATACGGAGCATGTTAAGTTAGGGGTTGTCAGTAAATAACCCAACCTTTCAACAACAATAGTAACAACAACATGAAATCTTTATCTCACTATATGTGATTGACTACATAAATATTTTCTTAAGAGTCAAATTCTTATTTAAATCTAAAAAAATATCATTTCTATCATTTTCCATCAAGTCTTTTTAGGTCCACCTCTACCTTTTTAAATATAAGTCAAATCTAATACATTTACTCTCCTAATCGATTCATCGAAAGGGTGTATTTTTATGCGACTAACCCATCTAAGGCGACTCTCTAATCTTATCCACCATTGGAGCTATTTCAACCATTTCATGTATATGCTGATTTCATTTATTGTCTTTAAGAGTAAAGCCACCCATCCATCCACCTAAGCATCCTCATCTATGCAACACTTAACTTAATGTTATGCTTCTCTTTTAATGGCCAACATTCTGTGGCATAAATTACTCGACCCAAAAAATTTGAGTTCAAGTTGACATGTTTAATAAATAGGTCAGATTTTGGTCTTGCATTCCGACCCATTTATTAAACAAATTAAATTTGGGTTGACCCACCAACCCATTTTTTGCCTGAAATTGACTTTGTTTTTAATTTTTTTCTTAATTTCTTTTATCCACATATAATTTTCTTGTTTTTGATAAATAAATCTAAAGTTTATGATTAATAAGCTACTTAAAACTCTTTTTTTAATTAAAATGAGTTATCAATTTGGGTTTGGGTTGCCAGCACGTCAATTTCAGGTTCAATTTTTTTACCCAATTATTAAACATATAAGGCTTGTGTTGATCGGATTCAGGTTGGGTCCATTTAGGATCGGGCCTGAACCCGACCTACTAACTCATTTTTTACACCCCTATGATAAGACCTATAAATTTTTTATATATGATATCATGAGTCATCATGTCTATTTTTCTTAAGTTGTTGCCGAGTATTAAGCATCCACACGAAAGTGCCATCATCGTGAAGCCTATCATCAAATCACCTTTGTCATTATCTCATAACATAGTTTATTTTTAATTTTTTTATTTTCATTTTTTCTTCATTCCATGCAAACACACACACAAAAATCATACTCTAAATTTAAAAAATATTACTTTAATTTCCTTTGTATTTAGATTATTTATGATTTCTATAGTACTTGCAACCAAAAGCCACTTACTAAATACTAAATTAATCGCATGCTACTAAAGCTTATAATATAAACTTATTAGCTTTTAAGAAATAACTTCCTACATGGAGAAATAAGAATTTTGTGGGTATTAGATTAAAAAAGGGAAATTTACATACATATGGCTTTATTTTATGTTATTTACGTATCTAGCACTCAAAACATTAATATTACATGCCTACCATCCATATACAACTTTAATATCAAATATACAACTCCTATGATTCATTTATATAATTCATACAATCCTATAAACTTTAATATTTCATTTCATGCACCCAAATTTATTCTATGAATGGTAATCATGTAATATTAATGTTTTGAGTGTTAGATACGCAAATAGCATAAAATAAAATGATATGTATGTAAAACCCCCTAAAAAAAGAGAGTTGTTGAACTCATATAAGAAATTTGAAAACAATATGTGGATGCTAACAACTGCATTCCATATTTATCACCCAAATCTTCTTATTATATCAATCAATTACTTTTCATCTAATAAAAATTGTGGCTCTAACTTAACTAAATATGATTAAATCTTAAATCATATAAATAATATAATGTAAATACAACTAAGCAACATGAACTCTAAAAATTATTCTTTCCTAAATTAGTTTAAATATAATTATTGATGTCTTCTTCAAAAACTTCAATTTATCGGAGCAAATCTTAATGCATTATTTTGAAAATTTTCAAAATTAAATTCAGACCATACAAAATTTAATTTCAACAAATTTCTAGTTAATTGTTTACCTTGACAAACACAAATTTATGACACCAAAAGTGATTTGATATGAGTCTAAATAAACCCAATTTGAGCGTTTGAAGTAGGGGTGTCAAAGATTGAACCTACTTGGACTCGTCCCAAAAAATTCAGGGGTCGGGTCAACTCATTTGCCTGACGAGTCGGGTTCGGGTTTCATTTTCTGACCATTTATAAACTAGGTCGGGTTTGGGTTAACTCAAAAACCCGAAATCAACTCTTGTTTAACCCGCGCGCATCAGGAGTTATGAGTCCTGCCTCGTGCCTCGAGTTGTGTCAAGTGTCCCGCGGTCCCGCCTCGGCCTTGTGTTCCATATGTCTAGTCTAGCCTTAGCCTAGCATCTTGCACCTGTAACCTGCCTCCCTGCGCTCGTCCACAACAGTCCAACTCGTGACTCGATCGATCGACCCCACAACCTCTTTGTTGAAATTTTTGATTAGAATAGCTGGGTCAAGCACCATCTCCATTAGCAATTTGAATCATACGGTGAATCCCTTGCCTACAATGTTATTGCCGACGGCATGTGTTTGCCACCATAGATGTTGGAGTTAGTTCTAGCTCAGGCATTAGCGTCCGAATTTGTGCTTCGTGTCGGATCAACCTGGTACCCCGTGCGGGTCAGGTCCAGGTTGGAATTCCTAACCTGTTTGCAAAATCGTGTCGAGTTAGGGTCAACCCATTTGTACCCAAATCAATTCGGGTTGGACTCGAACCTGACCCGTTGAACTTTTTTAACACCCCTATATATTTGAGGGAAAGAAAAAAATGCATCCCTTGCCAAAAAGCTTTTAAAAATCTTCACCTCTAATTAATGTAATTATCCAACATCATATTCCAGAGGGGCTTAAGTTGCCTACAATTTATCCAAATGATAGGACTTTCTAACCGTTATGACTATATTGACCACTATATGGCCATTATGGACATTCAATAAGCTTTTTATGTCATCATTTTCCAAGTTTTTCCTGCAACTTTTGAGGGATAAGCTAGCAGTTGGTTCTATTCTCCTTGTTGCATTACTATTCACAATGTTATGTTCTATTTAGTCTTTTCATCGATTAATGTATTAGTAACTAGAAGATCATCAGAGACCATCTTATAAAATTTGCCAAAGTGAAGATGACACCCTTAAAGAGTGATTTCAAAGATAGAGTGAAAATTTTTAACGACTTAATGATATAACAAATTATAATATAGTAGAATTCAAATCCCAATAACTATAACATGACAAGGAAAACACAACAGATGATATAACTTTAGCAGGCACCATGAAACTAGATTAAAATAGTTACAATATTTTTATTGTAACATGTGTGACAGAATCACAAAAATTATAGTTCAACTATATCATTATAAAGCATTCAAATCCAACCATATCTATATCATTATAAAGTGCCAGAATATGATCACTTCTTAATCATTGTAAAGTGCCAAAATGTGACTACTTCTCTATAATATGTGCTCCTGAATATCATTATAATTGAAGCCATTTTTATCAAACAATAGTACACTTATTTTCACATTTTGATTATGAATTCAAGCCACCTGAGTTTAGTACTGATCTTCTACAACACATCCATAGAAATAACTATTCAAATATTGTGTGCTCACTCCTCATATTCAACACAATAATATTATCAATTTCAAACGACTCATATAACGTGATAGTTTCATTCCTCACATCTCTGTATTTATTTAACCGAATCTTGCTTAACAAGCCAATTTAAATTAATGCAACACAATAAATTTAAATATTGCGTAAAATTTTTATCGAACAATGATCAAATACTCAAACTTAATTTGAACATAAATTAAAACTTATTTTGACCTCAATCGAACATGATCGAAGCATCTTCAACTATTATTCGCTCTTGACTTTGAAACACATATTTTGAATAAGCTTCGAGACATGTTTGATCTTTTGCCAAACATATACAAATCAAGTTCGAATAAGTTTTGAGTAATATAAAAAATCTGTAATCTCATATGCAATACATTTCTAAGTTTAGGATTTATGGTATACACATTAATCACGAATCTTTAACAATAATCATAAACTAGTCAGAAATACAAATATTATATTAGCACTTTGATAACATAGAGTGGATTTGATATGGATTTTTTAATTTATGCATGCAGTTTTGGAAGTAAGCAAAAGTAAAAAATAGTTTATTCAATCATTAGTAAAATAAAATTAAAAACCAAAAGATACATCGTGCACCAGCCGGGAATCGAACCCGGGTCTGTACCGTGGCAGGGTACTATTCTACCACTAGACCACTGGTGCTGTATGTACAACTAATTTTCTTTAAAATTTTAAATTAAAACTTAACTCTTTATAAGTATTTATTCTTTATTGAGCTCGTTCGTTATTAGCTTATTCATGTTTGAACTCATTTGTTATCAGTTTCTTTGAGCTCAATTCGAGCTCTATTTGAGCTTTTATGTTTGTGTTCATATTTAGTTTAAAATTGTATATTTTCAAATTTAGTTTGTGTTTGATTCATATTCGACCTATATGGTACTTATCGAGACGAACAACACATATAAAATAATAAGTGAGTATTATCGAGCTATTAATAAGCTTTATTTTCTATTTGTTCATTAGCTTAATGAATAATTATGTCGAGTCTTATCGAGTCCATTAATGATCATATAGAGCGAGCTTTCTCTAACCCATAGATGATCTATCAAATATTTTTGAGCTTAGAAACTAGTTGATTGTTGAGATTAGAAAATTATATTTTTAATAAATGTGTTTCTTTATGAACGCTTAAAAAAAAAAACATGACCAAGTACCTTTAACTAATATATCTTATAATGTTAAATTAGTTTTATTGGCGCAGGCGGGCGAGCGCCTGCGTGGCGCGGCAGAGCGGGCAGCTTCGCAGGCAGTTCCTGGGCAGCGGGGCAGCTTTGCGGGCAGCGGGCAGGAGCGGGAAAATTCGAAAATAAACGGGTTTCTGGTTGACCCGGCAACCCGCCGGGTCAACCCGAACCCGACCCGATTCGGGTTCGGGTTAACCAAAACCCGAAATTTTTGGGCGGGTTTTCAGGTCGGGTCAAATGTTGACAGCTCTACATGTAGTTTCTCCACTGTTACCGAGCTTATTAACGAGCTCTATATCGAATATGAATCAGGCTTCTTAATGAGCTTCATTCATAAATAAGTCGACTAAATAGTTGTTTAAGCTTATTTATTTAATTATTTAGTATTAACAAAATATTCAATTTTATTTGATTGCTTAGTTAAATGATTATTGATACATAATCAAAAGAATTATCTTGATCGGGCATGAATCTCGAGGCAAAATCAAGCCGAAAACTTCAAAAATTAAATATGGGATCACCTAAACTCCGATTTCAGCTAACTTATAGTCAAATTGAGTGTCTTGGAAATACAAATCCAACGACACCAAATTCGACTCAATCCGAGCCCAAAAGAGTCCAAATCAAGGACCCAAAGTGCTGCCGGAAAGTTTGAACCATAATTTGAGTTACCAAATGATTTTCAAACATGACTTGTTTATAGTCGAATCAAGCGGCTTGACGAGATGATCTAACGAGCCCAATATCACCAAATTCTGACATCATTAAAACCTTCAAATGTCTGACAAACAGTACAAGATCCAAGGATTCAATATCTGCTGTCTATCCAACCACTCCCTATTTACCCCTGATCTCTCACCTATTTATAGGTCATGCCACTACATAATTTCTATAAATAAATTCCTCATTTCTCATGAGAAGGGACCCAAGCAAGAAGAAGAAGAGAAGAAGGAGAATAAAAGAAAAGAAGATTATGAGGGAAGAAACTCCTCTTCGACCACCCACCGACGTCGGAATTCTGCACGACGCCCGAGTGACGTCAAAATTCTGCCTGACGCATGAGTGACGTCAGAATTCTGTCTGACGCCAGAATTATGCCCAAGTGATATCAGAATTCTGCCCGACGCCCAAGTGACGCTGGAACTCTGTCTGATTTTCAAGTGACGCAGGAATTCTAAGTGACTCTGAATTCAGCTCAAATACGCAACTTGTTTGTAATCGGATTTCAATTTGGATTTGAAGCATTGTAATCTGATCGTTCTAAATTTTTAAGGACGAGTCAGCTTCTTGTACCTCAAACAAACACTAGTGGAATTATTTTAACTGGGCGTGACCCCGTGGTTTTTCCCTTTCCCGGGTTTTCCACGTAAAAATCATGGTGTTATTATTTCTCCTCTGTTTGGGTGCTAGATATTCGTACAACGCTGAGACAGAAATTTTCTAACTCTATCGCCACGTATATTCTAGTCCACAATAATCAAATGCTTGATTTATTTGCAGCTTCAACAAAAATATATAAAAGTTTATTATATTAGATAGAAGAGGTTGGGAGTTCCAAACATCACCAAGACCAGGAGCTGCTTACAAACCTTCAAACGATTTTTTTTAAAATTTTATAAAAATAGATTCAAAGAATATATTAAGGTCAAGCCGCAAAAAAAAACTAGAATTATCAAATCAATAAACAGTAATATAAACCTGACTTAGCTATAATGCTCAGCTGTAATAATAATAATAATAATAAAAAAGCAGATGTCCTCAACTGAAAGGAAGACTCGCAAGCCACTAAAATAGAAATTAGTCAAAGAATAAGTTCTTATAAATATAGAATAGAAAATGCATTTTGGTAAAGGTTTCGTATGAGATTGTTTTTTTTTAATTGTTTTTTAAAATATTTGTTTTTAAATTATCAAAAAACAAATTATATTAAAAAGCTACTTTCATAAGCAATAAAAAAGTTATCCTAAACTAATGCTTTAAAAAACAATAAAAAAATGGAACAACATCATTAAATTTTCTTCCTAAAATAAATATAAAAAAAGTAAATTTACTTTTAAGTTAAATATAAAATTTAAATAATTAATATTACTCTTATTTTTTTTTTTAATTGGATATTCACCAATTGTCATCTCCGAAAGGATGCTTGACGGCATGACTAATCCTAGAAATGATACCCATCCAAAAAATCTCCTTATTTAATTGGCCCCCACTTAAGAAGCTCCGGTGCTCGAGAGGTTTTTGAAATTCAATCATTTTTTTATCAATGGAAAACAAAATTTCCCAAGAAATTGCGAACGATTCAGAGGTATCTGCTGTTACGTGAGAGCGGCAGCAAGATCGCGCTGTTGCGTGAGAGCGGTAGCGTGTCGCGCCGTTAATTACAATATCCGACGGAGAGAATGGAGATTAGATTTACCCCTTCTCATGAGAGTGCTTATAAACTGTTAGTTTGTTCAATGTGGTCAAGAGGAGAAGATATCTGACGGAGAGAATGGAAAATAAAAAATAAAGAAAATAAGCGAGGAGAGAGAGAGAGAGAGATGAATGCCTTCAGGTTAGCGGGGGATATGACCCATCTGCTAAGCATCATACTTCTACTGCTCAAGATCCGCGCCACGAAATCGTGCGCAGGTCCATCGATCTTTCACATTCTAAGGGTTTCAAAATTTCTATGAGCTTTTTGGTTTTAGTTCATGAAAAATTGGAATTGCGACGTTACGATTGATTGATATTAGTGGCATTCTTTATTTCTTCTTTTTTCATGGTGAAAATTTGGATATTTCTAATCGTTCCGATTTTGATGAGCAGGAATATCGTTGAAGACACAGGAGCTTTATGTTATCGTGTTCATGAGCCGGTATCTTGATCTGTTTAGGACCTACTATTCTCTATACAACTCGTTGATGAAGATAATTTTTCTTGGAACATCGATGTGCATCGTTTGGTATATGAGATCGCATAAGGTAGTCAGGCAGACCTATAATAACGATGAGGACACTTTCCGGCATTTTTTTCTTGTCCTGCCATGTTTTGTGTTGGCCCTTTTGGTGCATCGCAATTTCACTTTTATTGAGGTAGTTATTTTTACTCGCACCTATTTAGCTATTGATAAACTGCATTTTATTCCTTACATGAAACAGCACATATTGTTTTAGCTTTTGCTGTCGCGTTTCCAAACTTGAATGTTTTAGTTGATGGCTTCTGTGGATTTCCTTTCTGCTAGTAGTCCAAGTGGTATGATAATTGTCTATTCAAATGGTTGTTTTGATAGTTATAATAACCATTCATCTGCTTTAGCATTAAAATTGCCTAGAAGAGTACCACCAATATGGAGGCAAGAGGCTTTTATACACCAAAGCTCTTGAATAGATAGCATCACAAAACTAAAACTACCAAAGTCTGTGAAAAATAGTTGTTTTTTGTGGCCCAAAGATGCATAAAACTATGTAAACAAGAGTTGGGCTGAGATCTTTGCCCGAAGATTGAAGATCACTTGAAGATAAAATATATTTTTGGCTTGAATCAAGTCAAACGGGGCAATGCACAAATTAAATTTTTGGCTCAGTCCGACCTTCGTGTCGTTAGCTTAAGCTAAATTCGAAATATAAATAGTACACATAATTTGAAAATTATTATATACATATGAGTACATGTGTATATGGTCTTATAAATATACATGTATGTATATATTATTATTATTTTAAATTAGAAAAAGGAAAAATAAATGATTCAAAGTCTTTTCAAAATTGGGTTGATTCCAGCCAAGCCGGCTCGAAATTGACTCAACTAATCAATGAGCTGATTTTCGAGCTTAGTTTGAGCTGTAATTGTATTAGCTTGAAATTGGATTGTTCTTGCTCTAGGCAAGAGTCCAACATTTACAAAGTTCACTTCCTAGAATGAGAGCTGTCCATGACAATGTAATGTTGATGGCTCACTGGTAGAAACAATAGTAAGGGAAACATGAGGACAGGTGAGAGAATGAAATAAATCTCAATAAAAATATATTACTTTCTTGTTATAACATGTTGAAGTTTATAAACAGTAGCTAAGCGCTAAGAAGCTACTGGCTATATACACATGCGTGTTAGACTATATTGAAGGTAGACTTGGGCATTTCACTTGCATTTCACATTGTATTGCTTGATGTGTTTCAAAGTAATGATCAAATGAAGAAAAAATATTCTTGCATGAATGCCCTGTTGTCCATGGATCCCGATATTGCTTCATTCAACCCTTTTGCTTTCATATTCTTAAAAATACTTTTGTTTCTCTACCTTAGTCACTGATAATGGCTCATTTACTTTGTAACACCTTATTTTCATCGTTCATTTGCTCTTGACTCGATTTACATTGCTTAATTTTTTTTTGGTGAGAACATGCGAGTGCTTATGGATAAAGTACATGCTACTAAGAAAATCCTCCTTAGAACAAACCAATTAACTTAATACTGACCTATCTATATACCTTTCTTACACCATGTGTTTGTATCTTGATTTACAAATCCTATATTCATAACCATATTTTATATACTAGCCATGTATCGGATGCTCCTGTTAATGAAATGCTTTGGGAGCTTTGTTGTTAATAGTCTTACCCTACATTTATATAGAGGTTAATTCCATGACTCGAACCTGTGACCTCCAGCATAGACTAGAGGCAACCCAATCACCGCTTTAGGCCTGCCTTTAGAAGGTGCTACCTAGAAGTTGAACCAAACTACAATTGTCCAACATAAAGTTAATTTAAGAAACACAAGAGGCTACCATTCTTATATGCAAATCATATTAACTCTTTACAATGGAAGATGAATCATCTTTAAAGAGAAAATTCATACAGGTACCATAATTGTGGAACATCATCAATATTAGCCTTATCCCAACTTTCAGATCAATTTTTTCTTCTTATTGATTCTTGCTGAGAGTTGCATATATGGTAAATTTAAGTTAATGTAATAATGTTTGAACAACTTCTAGTTATTTGGTCTAATCTTTATCTCTCCTCCTTATTCCTTCTACGTTTTTGTCGTCATTTTTGTTAAATTTAATTTTTAATCAGTGTTACTCCCATAAGCATGGAAACTATTAATGTAAGAAAGTTGCAAGATTAGAAACATCATCCTCATAATTAACGATAACCCCCTCCCCTTATTATCTTCTTTTTTCTTCTTCTTATTAAGCTATACATAGGCACCAATATTCAATTAATGAGATACTATAATGCATAGACACGAACACTGCGATATGGATATGACACGACACGGACACGGGACGCGTCAATTATTGAAAAAATATGACACAGACATGAGTCGGACACTGTGTTATAATTTTATATTTTAAAAATGGAATAAGTATAATATAAAAATAATTTAGAAATATTAAGTCATTTAACTGGAATTTGTGCTTAAAATGATTAATATTAAGATGTCGAGAGTCGGGCGTCAATGTCGTGCATCAAACATCGAGATAGTAGACAACAATGCTGTTAAGAGTCGGACATCGATGTTATGCAGTAAGTATCGAATGTCAATGTCAAGAGGGCATATGTCGTTGATGTTTAGAGGGTGTTGCTCGTCAATGTTAAAAAGACGTCGGACAAAGATGAGCTGTCAAATTGTGGCTATAGAAATTGCTAGTGTCGAGCATCAATGTCAAAACAATACCAGACCTTGATGTTGAGATGGTTTTGAAATGTCAAAGTTGTAACGACATCATATGTCGATGTTGAGATGACATCGAGCATTGTTGTGAAATCAAAGTAGTAACCTGCCAAAGAGAAATGAAAATGAAAATATTCTATGAATAGGGTATTGAGTGCGGTGATTGATTTGATGTTGTGAATAGGAAATACAAAATTGAGTTTTTATATTTTAAATAAATAAAAAATTTTAAGTACAAAAATTATATTTGAAATAATTCATAAATTTTTTAAGACACGGGTGTCGGATACAGTGCCTAATTTGTATTTAATATTTCAGCCAAGTACTTGTTGCCACACCAAGAAGCATCCACTTATGCGAGGTACGTTTGGAGCCACTTTTTTTTTGCTCCAGCATAGTTTCATAGTATTCACCATCTCCAAACTTATTTTTACATCCATCGACATTTGGATACTACTCTTTGGTGTGATTGCTAGAAGAAGGCCTCTACTCCACCCACTTTCTTTAACAAATGTGCTCACTTGATAGCCTTTATTGGGATAACGTAATGAATGAAAAGTAAAGCAATCATCAGTGAAAACAAGGAGAACCCCCCTAAAATCGGACTACTCAAAGTGACCATATGAATCCTCTTAACGGCCCCATGCAAATGACTAGGCAATGATCTAGATGACAAGATTTGTCAGTGCCATCCTTTAAATAATATAAAGACTGCAATTCGACAGTTAATGGAAGTAATAATGCTTCAAATTGATATGAAAGCAACATCATCAAGTTCCTTGTTGGAGTGATGGAAACTTCAAATTGATATGAAAGCAACAACACAAAGTGAATTGCATGATCTACGATATGTGTGCATGCTACTTAGCGTGCTTGTACAATACATTTATATGATTAAAGATACAGATACATGGCACTTACTGTGTTTATACATATTTGTATGTTTTTGGTACTCACACATTATACAATAGAGGACTCATAGGCAACACCCTTTAGTGATTTGATGTGTCATGCACACTTTAATTAAGAGTCGTACTGACACGCTTGTTTCTTTTCAAAGACAAATATTCATAAGGTGTACAACATTCACGGGGCGCATATGAGTCTCCTGATTTTAATAGTTGGCATGTACGCTACCTAGGGTACTTGTGCACCCATGACTCCTCACTTGTCTTTTTAGGTAGAGGTAGACCTAAAAAGACTTGGTTAGAAAATATTAGAAATGATCTTTCTTTATTAGATTTAAATGAGAATTTGACTTTTAACAGGACATAATGGCGAAAAAGGTTTCATGCAGCCAAGTTCACGTAGTGGGACAAAGACTTGATGTTTTTGTTGTTGTTGTTCATAGTCCTACTTAAAATGTTTTGCTTAAGGCATCATATGTATCTTAATCACAGCACATTTTGCTATTATAGAGTTTTCGGCCTTTTTTCCTTTTTTTCTTTCTATTTTTTTGAGTTGCAGATGATTGTCATTGACAAACACTATTCACGATTTCACGTAACAGATTTTATGGACCTTCTCTCTGTATCTCGAGTCTGTTGCAATCCTACCCCAGTTAGTGTTGTTGCAGAAGTCTAGCAACATTGACAACCTGACAGGGACCTATGTATTCCTACTTGGGTAGGTTCTTACAAGCACAGTTTGTTGTTATAAATATTTTATTTCTTGAAGTGATTTGACGTTTTAAATGGTTGATTTATATGGAGGGCTCATGCGTAATTTTATAGAGTATTGAGATAATTTTACTAGATGAGCTGTTGCTCTCAGCCCTGAGGGTTCATTTGGAGTAATTGTTTTACACTTTTATTTTCTGAAAGCAACTATTGTTTTGTTTGGCTATAATTTTTTTTTGCTTTTTATAAATTTGTGTAATGAAAAATAAATTTTTATAATAAAATCTATTAGGATATGACAATTGCAAGAAAGTTACAGTTGACTTTTTTGAAAGTGAAAACAATTTTTAAAAAAATATGATTTCCCCACAATAGTCAGCAAGAGCTTTTACAAATATCTGTAGCCGCCCCAAATGGTCCCAAATTTCATTATGTTCAGCTAAAAAGCTACTATGAAACTGAAATGGCATCTATTAAGTTCTTCAGTACCCACCGAGGCTTAGGGCGGTTAGTGGGCGAGCACGGTTGGGAATCCCCCATTCCGATTTCAAATCCCCTCTACTACGGCCTCACCTCTTCAGTGGGGCAAAACAAGTTTGGGCATGATGCTAGTGGGTGGCCTCGCTAGGTTCTGCCGAGGCCAAGCGCTCCCTTTGGAGTGGCAGCAGTTAGCCATGTTAAAACATGGACATGGTTTAGCTTTTTAGCAGTTTTGAATATACTTAGACCAATTAAATTATACTTCTGTTTATCTAATTGTTTTTATGGCAATTTCTTCAGTAGGTTTTCTGTTATGCCGCTGTTTTCTATTATATTCCTTTAGCTGACATATTCCTAATTCCTTCCCTTTCATGTTTATGTACTTTCAGTCTCCAACATACACAGGAATATTAGGAAATTTGTTGTTTCTCTTTGCAGGGCTTACAGGGGATTATATCTGTTCAACTGGGTTTACCGGTTCTTCACAGAGAACCATAGGGTTCGCTGGATCCGTAAGCTCCTTTTCAATCCACTTTGGTGTTAACAGGCGCTTGATGTATCAATATTGTCAAACATCAGTGATGGGATTATGTAAAAATTAGATCAATCGCCGATTGAAATTAGTGCGGTTGCTTATGCCATCCACCTCAATGTGAAAATAAAAGTCCTTCATTGACGTAGAGTATTTTATCTTCTAAGGGCATCTCCAACCGCGTTCTTCCGTCGCTCTATCCGATCAACATTTTTCCTCGCTATTTGATTGCGGGTAAACAGTGCGACGTCAGTATTGAGACGCCGCACTGTTCACCTACGCGATTTTTCTGTCTCCACCAAATTTGCTGAAGAAACGCGCGAAGGAGAAGAGAGACGGTTACCTTCGCAGAAGCGCACAAAATGGAGTTCGATTTGAGATGAATCATAGCATTTTTGAATTTCACTGCATTTTGGCGTGAAATATGGTATTTTGGGTTGGAGATGCCCTAACGAAATATATCACCCGGTCCGGTAGTAATAGATTTGTTTATGGATTGCTGGTGTATTGCTTCCCCACCTCACCTTGAATATGAAGAACACTTTCGAGCCAACTTCACTCCTATTTGAGTGCCACTTCATTCTTATAACAAAAAATTTCATTAGGCAATAACCATATGCTCTTTCATAGTCGATTATAATAAATGAAATTTCATAACTGCCAAGCTGGCCTCCTTTAAATATGTATGTTGGGCTTCTCTATGATTGTATGAAGTTGCAGCAAGAGCATTATATGTTCAATGGTTTATGAAAATCATTTGAGATTTGAGATCCCCTATTTCAATGACAGATCATCTAATGATTTTAAGGTTAAGCACTTCTTGATATTTATCTTGCAGCTTGGTTGTCTGGCCTTATTCAAACAGCCATCTACACTGATTTCTTCTATTACTACATAAGAAGGTACATAAGACACTTCTCATTATCATCTTCACAGTTCTTGTTTTAGGTTTTGTTTGGGACGACTTTTTTATTGCTTTCTAAAACAGCTTTTAAGTACAAAAATTAAAAATTTTATTCTAAAAAGCCATTTTAATAAGCAATAAAAAAACCGTCCCAAACAAAACCTTAATATCATTGTAGTATAATAACACTCTGTTGTATCTGTCTTGCTAGTTGGAAAAACCGAGAAAAGTTGAAGCTTCCTGCGTGAGCATTGCTATTGTTTGCCTGATTTATGATTAACAGCAGTATCTCTCATTCAAGAGAGAGATTTAGATACTTTGTTAACTCTTCTCTTCTTTTATTTTCCCCAGTTTTTGGGAGATTTAAGTTGTCTTTCTCGAGTATATTAGATTTACGGCCTTATAGATGAGGTGAAGCACCTGTACTAATACTCTAGTGGAAAATTATACAGTACTCATAACTGTTTAATCTCATCATTGTTGCTATTAGTGGGGCTTGATTGTGATCATTTTCTATTTTTTACTTTTTTTATTTTAGTTATATTTTAATATGAAATAAAAATATATTTGATAATCTAAATGAGTGTTATTTTTTACTGAATATTGTATAAGTTGTTGATGACGGTCGGTGTCAATGGTGACTAATTTTTTAATTTTTTGGGGGAAATTTTTTTTGCAGATATCTTGAAATTTGATTATTTATAAAATTATTATTTTTATAGTAGTTTTATATTATATAAGGCTTCGTTTGTACTAAAAAGCTGTTTTATAAAGCTATAAAAAAATTGTCTCAAATGAAGTCTAAGGCTTAGACAAAAAAGAACTCTTAAGAAACAGCTAATCTATAATTATATTGTGATAGACAGAAAGAGTAGTGGATGTAGTTTTGAAAGATAGATTACTTGTAATTAGACCATTAATCAAATATGCTTAGGAACTTAATTTGTCTTATCATATTACATTTTCTATTTTGTGGTCAACAGCTTTAATGAATGAGCCGGCTTCTCCTCATTTTTATTGTTATATATATAAGAGATAAAAAAGTGACCTGCTGTTTCAGCATGAGTAGAGACAGAAAAGCTGACATAAGTCATGACCAAGCATTACATGGTTCAGCATAATTTTAAGAAAATTTTGACTACCAGATGGTAATATGGTATCATCTCCTCTTCCTCCATGGTGGGAGCGAAGATTAATTAATATGTTCGGATGCTGAACGTTGTTTGAAGATCAATCAAAATACGTCACATCACTCTTTTGTCCGGTACTGTGGCTTGGTACTGCTGTCGTGGTTGCACCTGATTCACCTCGGGACGTACGTAGAGCTGTGTCTGACCTCAGCACAGAATAATTTATCGTAAGCAAAGCTGTAAGGCCTTGAAGCATTGCACTTATTCTTAAAATTTTTTAGGCCTCTACTCTATAGAGCTATATGTCATGGCTTAGCTGGTGTTGCTTTAAATAATTTTGTAATCAATTAAGATATGACATTTGTTTGTGCTGGTTATAATTTTTTTATAAAAGTGATTATAAAATTATTACGAAAAAATAACTGGTAAAAAGCTATTATAAAAAGTAAATTTTCAGCACAATTTTTTTTAATATAGTGAAAAAATAATAGCTATATAAAATTTATAATTGAGATCTAAAAAATAAAGCATTATGAAAGCTGTCCAAATAAAATCATAGATGATAGACAAATGTAGCAATAAGCAACCCATCAACATCAAAAACCAAGTGAGATATCTTTCTTAATCACCTCTTAATTAATGAATCTGCAGAGCTTATTACTTTAATAATTATTTTGGACCTAACATAAGATGCCAAAATCATTTGTATTGCCGGCCTTAATTTTGATGCCAATATTTTAACATACTAGAATCTGCAGGCTTCCCATTAATAATGCTTATGATGGTGCAAAGAAGCTTGAGTTGTACTATGGCTAGTTATTTGAATTCTTCTGCACAGCTTTCAAACCTAGCATTATTTGATTTGGCTGCTTCATGATTAGAAGTTTCCGAGAAATACTAATGATGTAGTCGTTTTGTTAAATATATTGTAGCAATCTTATTGAATTGTTGATCCTTGGATTCTTGTTCGGTAGTTTTTTTAAGGTTTTCTTAGTCATATAAAATATTTCAGATAAATTTGTTTCCTTTAAAGCAAAATGTGAACAATAACAAAGAAAAAAACATAAAATCTGAAGCTCCATATCACTTAGGATCAATACTAAATAGCACAATGCTCCATAAAAAAATGAAGGTGAAGAGCAAATGAAGCTCCAAGACAAACTCTAGTGAAGAATCAAGCATGAAGGAAATGTGAAGAATTCAAATGAAGCCAATTACAAGAAAACGACATGTTTGTTGGATTGTCTGGGTGGTTGCTCTTTGGTTTGGTAGTTTGGTGTTTATTTTTTTGTTTTCTTAGGTGTTGGGTTTCGAGTAGCTTTGTTGTCGTGTTGTCTTCTCTTATCCGTCTTCTGGTTGCTGAACATTTTGGCGCCTCTGGTTTATTGTTCATTCTCTTGCTTGGTTTGTTTGGTCATTTTGCAGGTTGTTTTCAGGTTCCCGTGCTTGCTCCTCGTGGGACTGGTGCTTGGTTGGGTGGCTGCTTCCGTTCGATACCTCATGTTGTCTGAAATGCTTATGTGGAAATTTTCTCTTTAGCTTTGTTTTTATTTTCAGCCTTTCTTTTTTGTGGGTTGGTTGTAATATACCGGATCAAAGGCTCATATGTTTTCTTTTAAATGTCATATTTTTAGAGGGCTATTGATTCGCTAAGAACTTGTAATTTATTCTTTATATTAACATGCAAGCCCCGTTCGTGAATTTTATCAAAAAAAAAAAAAAAAAAAAAAAAAAAAGAACAGGTCTTTATCAAGATAAAGTCATGCTTGAAGGATTCAAAATCCTTCTTAAGTAGCTACAGGAGATGAGGAGATCAACAATGGAAAAGATATCTAGTGCAAACTCAAGACGAAATCAACAAGCACCGCATGCGATTGTATCCACGGATATAATAATAACTAAAAACAAATCAAAAGACTAATTTAAGCAGCAACAATTAAAATATAAACTTAGTTAACAACAAGAGAACCAATCTTGATTTCCACTAAAATCCATCATAACAACCACTTGGAGTTTGATATCTCCAACCAAAATTATTGCATACCTGAGAACAAGAGAAGCAACCCAGATTTTTCAATCAGAAGCATCAAGAATGCATCAAAATTCACTAACCCCTCCAAAGGCTTTGTCAGCTTTGTTTGAGTGCTTTGGTAGAGAAATTTACTGGCCGTCGGCCGCCGATTGATGCTATTCACAAATTTTTCTTTCAACTTAAACTCATTGGTGAGTTTTCAGCCACTTAGCTTATTTCATTAACAACTGTTTCATGAAGTTATTTAAGTGGACTCCTCTCTTTGACATTAATACTGAATCTCCTACCATTCCTATATATTTGGGTTTCCTATCCCAATCTTCGTCCGCATCTTTTTTCTCTCCGGATACTTCATGGACTTGGCTTCTTATTTGGCCGTCCCTTATGGACTGATAATGCCATCTCTAATGGCACAAGGCCTTCGGTGTACTTGTGGAATTAGATGTTACCAAGCGGTACCCTGACCAAGTTTGGCTTGATTGTGAATCTATGAGTTATATTCATCTAGTTGAAATGAAAGAATTTTCTTCTTACTGTGTTCATTGTAAGGTTTTGGGCCAATCAAAAAATGAATGTCATACTTTGAATCCTCTTTTAGCTAATCATCCTACCCAAACTATTGGGGGTGCTTTGGGTGAGGTTTCTGGACAAAAAAGTGTAGATAATTTAGAACATTCTCATACGGGTGAGAACGATCATATTGACGTGAAAAATAAGGCCCATTGTAGTGAATTACTCTTGCTTGAATCGGGTGCTCCCATTGGGTTGTCAATTGAGACTGATTCGTTGGTTCATGTTGCCGGTGTTCCACCTCAGACGCTTTTCTCCTCTCTTGTGTAGAATTTTAAAGATGATAATGAACATTTAGGGGCATTAGCTTGTTCTGTTGATGTTGGTGATGGTGGTAATGACTTGGTGATAGGGGTGAGATTGCTGTTGAAACTCCCGTGGTTGGTGTCTGTGAATTCTATAATGAATTTTTGAATGTGGGGAATAAGGAATTATGTGATGTTAATATGGTGGTGGTAAATGAAGTTTCTAGTGAATTGAATCCTTTTGTTGAATCTCCTGTGGCATATGTTGAGTTGGCTTTGTCGCCCTCTCTTGTGGGGCTGGTTGGGAGTGAGCAACTTGTTGATGTACCAATTACTATCCTTTCATCATCTAATGATTTGAATGCTCACTTGGGAGTCAGGTCGAGGTGAAATTTCTATGGAGCAATCTGACTGGCTTGACAGCTCACGTTCTTCTCCTTGCGGGATTGGTGAGATGGAGGCGAATGAACATGATTACTCGTTCATGACTTTTATGACTTGTAATGTGAGCTTTGTTGTGCGTGATGCTTTCTCCCAGATTGGTAAACAGAGAAAGCGAAAATCTAAAAAATAGTTTGTGTGTTTTTGACTCTCTTATTCTCGGTTGGCTGCTCTGGTTTAGTGTTTTTTGGGTTGGTGTGAGTGCTTGGGAGGGCTTTTGGTGGCTGTTGGTTTTGTGAGCTGTTGTGTGGTGGCTTCGTGGTGTTGGCATTCTAGTTTGGTGGGTGTTATCTTTTCTTTCTTGTGCTATTTCTTTTCTCTTATCTTTTGCAGGTTGCTTATGTGGTTGTTGTCTAAGGAGCTGTGGCTGCTGCTATTTGATGTCTAGTTGGCTGTTGCATTAGTTTTATCTTTTGGTTTCTATTTTTAGACAGAGCCATTAGCTCATAGGTTTTACTTCAAATGTTGTATTTTAGTGAGTTTTGGTTCTTTAAGGACATCTAATTTTATTTGTTATGGAACACGTAAGTCCTCTTTGTGAGTTTTATTCAAAAAAAAGAAAGATAACTTAGGCATTACCGAACTAAATGGAAGCAGAATCACTAAAAAATAACTACCAACAGATCACAATGAGAAATGCAACAATAATCAATCAATTCTTCTGAAAAGAATACGACTAAGATCTCACAAAATAAAAATGTGATCATCATTAACAATCTCCTAGAATAATAAAAATGCCCACAGATTAGGTAACTTCTAATAATCTATGGGAATACATCGAAAGAATTCTCTGCAGCAATCAAAGTTCTCTAAGATTTTCAGTTCCATCAACATGAAATCAAATATAGCAAGCCAATCGATAGATTTATTTCATTTCCTAAAAATGCTATTGATTCTGAATTTCATAGGTGAAAGAAGATGTTCAATTTTTTTGAGATCATATGAATATTTATAACAAATACCCTTATTAGAACAATGAAGTAGACCAAGGCAAATGCATCAAGTTCAATCCAAACTCTAAGAAAATATTTAGAAATACAAAATACTAAAACAATTAATGAAGCTTTTAATTGAGATTGAAAAAGCATTAGAAAGTTTAAGAGAAGATGTATAAGCAAAGATTAAGGTCTCATTTAGGATGATTTTCTTACTGCTTCTTAAAATAGGTTTTTAGTAAAAAAATTAATTTTTGTACTGAAAAGTTATTTTAAGAAGCAACAGGAAAGCCGCCCCAAACAAGTCTAAGGCTTTGTTTGAGACAACTTTCTTATTGCTTTTTAAAGTATTTTTTTAGTACAAAAATTTTTTGAACAAAAAATTTTGGACTAAAGAATTGCTTTATAAAGCAGTAAGAAAGCCGTGCCAAATGAAGGCTAGAATTTCGTTCGGGATAACTTTCTTTTTCAAATCGCAACCAAAATTTTTATGTAACTAATTTTTTTGCTGCTTTCAAAAAATTTTGTATCAAAAAATTACTTTATCTATAATAATTTTACAAATCAATAATAAAGCTGTCCCAAATGAAGTCAAAAGTATCATTAGAATCTCTAATATGATGGCCACCACCTCCTATAGAAGAATTGATAAAGTATTTAATTGAATTAAGTTTTGCTTTACCAGCATGGGGCTTGCCACTATAAACAGGGAGAGATTTTCGAATATGAACTTCAGTTCTAATCCAATCATTAGGGTTAAATATCTTAGATTCACTTAAGAAGAAAGCAAATTGACACAATACAATAACCTTAAACTATCCTCAATGTTATTAATAATATTAGAAACACTAAAGCTCAAGCTATTAAACTTATAATTATTTCTCTCAATCCAAATAAACCACACAAATTAGAAACAAAATTTTAGCATGCCCCATGGTAATATTATCAACAGAGTTAATGGAAAAACAAAACATCTCAGTAATAGAACAAACATTTGGTATGATATGTCACCAAAAATTATCTTGATTGGACATGAATCCCGAGATGTTTGATCTTTCAGAATTAAAATCAGGACTATTCAAACTTAGTTTTGAACAAAAATATAATCAAATTGAACGTCTCAATAAGAGAAACCAATGACACCAAGAGTGATCCAGTCCGAACCCAAATGAGACAAATCTACAATCCGAAGTATAGTTGAAAAATTCAAGACATTTGGATGATCAAATGGTCTCCAAATTTCACATACTTATGGTCGAATCAAGCGACTTAATGAGATGTATCCAACAAACCAAGATCAATTAATTTTGACATCATTAAGGCACATAAATTCTAACAAAATGATCTATGATTGAGGGAATCAATATGGGATGTCCAATGAGTGCTTAGAATTTTCTCAAAATTTATGGGGCTTGTTGCTCTCAAAATCTATAAATATGTCCACAATCTCTATATGAGGGGAAAACTTGTCTAGAGGCTCAAAGAGAGCATCGAGGCTTGAAGAATTTCGAAGTTCTACTCGAGCACTATTGATAGCAAACCCTCACCATCTTACTGTCACCACCAAGCCTAGACCCGGCTGACCTTTGCATGCTGGCCACCACTGTCGGACCTCTATTACCCGTCGACAATGGTCATTCAACCACCATCGCCGGACTAGGCCCTTCCAACTTTTATCACCAGTCAACTTTGACATTCTGACCATCATCACTTAACTATGGTTCTTCCAGCCTCAATTGCCCTCAAACCATGGTCCTCTAACCATTGTTGCTCAATTATAGTCATTATGACCTTCATTATATATCTATCGATTATGTTCTCAAACTACCGTCGCTTGACTACGGTTCTTTGACCATTGTTGCATGACTATGATCCTTCCAACTTTTATCACATGACGACTATGATTCTCTCAACACTATTGCCCAACTACGATTCTTCCAACCTCTCACGGACTACTATCCTTGAACCACCATCCTTAAACCACCATCGCTTATTGTAGATAGACTATAGCTCTTTGACCACTGTCGCCCACCTGCAGTCATTCTGACCATTGTTGCCCACTAATTACTATTCTCGGTCAACCGTCGCTCGACTACAGTTTTTCTAATCATCATTACTATGATCCTTCCAATCACCATCACCAAAAACAAGAAATAATAGCATGCCAGCGAAGGATATTAAGAATTGTCTTTTGAGTCACTATGAAGACTCCAAAAAACCACGAAACCCTCAATCTTCTAGACCAAACTCCTTATTCGGTTCAAATTTTGAAGGAACCTGCTACAGCAATGTTGTAGCTAATAAATTAGACAAATAATTAAAAAAAAATGGATGGGTTACTTTTAATATAGAAAGTTTGTACCGAATTTACTACATATTTTGCCGCAACATTAAAATCTGCACCTAATTTGTAGATTTATAACCCAACGAATAAAAGAAGAGATAGCAGGTTAATGGTTTGGTTTGAGACTGCTTTTTAATTGCTCATTAAAATATTTTTTTAGTAAAAAAAAGTTAAGTTTTGCAATAAAAAATTATTTTAAGAAGCAAAAAGAAACATGTCATAAACAAAGTCTTGTGTTTTTATTGCTTTCTAAAGCAATTTTTTAGTATAATATTTTAGTTTAAAAATCTTTATACTAAAAACTGCTTTAAAAATCATTATAGAGATGATTCAAAATATTCTCATTGAATTTAGGAAGCCAAAGAAAATAAGACTTCATTTGGGACAATTTTCATACTACTTTATTAAATAATTTTTTAGAACAAAATTTTTTGAACAAAAAATTTTTATACTAAAAAATTACTTTATAAAATAATAAGAACTGTCGCAAATAAAACTAAAAACTTTAAAATATTATTCAATTTCCACCGTTTCTCTCCAAGAGACGAATGGCTTTATTCATCAGTGAATTATCATAGCATCTGAAGGAAAGGAGGTAAAATGATAGATGGAAAATAATAATTAGTGTAAGAAAGATGAACACTATTACAGACTTACAGTACTTTTTTTTGGGACATTTAGGCCAATTAAGACAAACTCACACACACCACGCATACACAAAGACTCGAACCTAGGACCTCTTAGTTAAAGCATAAGCTCTCAACCAACAGGCCAAGGTGAGTACTTCCTTGTAATGCTTTTTCTAGTGACATATCATAGGTCTGCTTTCCATTCCTGTACAAATTAAGCATCTATTTCTCAGCTTTCTGTCCCATCGTCTCATCCTCCAATATTCTAATTAATTTTGTAGGCCTCAATGCAATTACAAATCAACAAATCAAAAAGAAAAACCTTCTTTTATCCCTACTTTACATGCTCTTCTGTTCAGCAACATTTCCAGAATTTTCTCCTTAACAAAGAGATGCTTATATGAAAGCATTCTTTACAAATTTTTATTTTAATTTTGCGAATTAGGTTATAAATTTTGTTATTGATAGCTGTTTATGCAGAAAAATATACATCTCAACTCAAAATAAATACAGATCATGATCATAACTTTTTTATAAGACTTACTAACCACAAAGAATTTGTAATAGGTTGGAATTCTCCCCATCAACCCCAAAAAGAAATAAAAAACCAACTAACTATAAATAAAAAATTCTTTTTATTTCCTATGAAATGAGCTCACTCATTCTTATAACATCATCTTAAATTTAGGCTTCGTTTGAGACGGCATTTTTACTACTTCTTAAATTAATTTTCTAGTACAAAAAATTTAGTCTTTGTATTAAAAGACTGCTTTAAGAAGCAGTAACAAAGCCGTCCCAAACAAAGCCTTACTTTTGGGACGGCTTTTACTGCTTTTTGAAGTAGATAATTTATAACACAAATTTTTTTAATTTAAGGATTCGTTTAGGATGGTTTTTTTACTCCTCCTTAAAGTAGTTTTTTAGTATAAAAATTTTAATTTTTTACTAGAAAATTGATTTAAGAATCATTAAGAAAACTGTCCAAAACGAGACCTAAAACTGTTAAAAACAATTTTAGATAGCTGTAAAAAAACCAATCCCAAATAAAACCTTAATCTATACCAAGACATAGAAACCTTGATGTTTAACCCGCATCTTCTCATTCACTACAATACTCTCATACATAGCATGCTATATAGAAAAATATATTAATTTTATCTATGTGAGAAACATTACTTGAAAATATATATGGAAAAGGTTTATAGACAGACCTTAAACAAATCTATAACCTCATGTAGAAAAAGGTGTTTGTTCCAAGGTCTTGTTATAAACCTCTCTTTGCTTCTCCAAATATGTTCCCTTCTCCCCAATCAAACATAATGAAAGGATCCATTGCCTTACTGTTATTGTTGTTATCCCTCTCCTCTTCTAATTTATCTCCCATGAATCCCTTAGGGAAGATAATGTTCATTGGATCGGGATCAAGCTCCGCCAAATCTGCAAAGAAGTTGTCAGGCTGGTTCAAATTTGACATCATCTGCTCATTGAAGCTGCTCTCGTCGAACACACTATCGAAATCATTATGATCTTGGTGATCAGTCAAAGCCTTTTCCTTTTCCTCATGAGCTTCTTCTTTTACATGTAATGAAGAGTTATTTGAGCTTGAACACTCTTTAGGTTCTTCCTTCATGTCTGTAAATTGCTTGTGGTTGTGAAGAGAACTCCTGGAAGTTGAAGAAGCGTTGTTGGTTTTTGAAGGATGAGATCTCGTAGATCCAGCAAGAGCATTTCTCTGAGTTGGCCATGGATGGTTGTGCTCTGAAGTGTAGGTGATGACCAGCATGTTAGGATCTGTCCGGCTTCTTTCCACTTGTTTCCTCGCTGAACATCCTTTTGAGCTACTACATCTGTAGTAGCCTCTGAAATAATATTGCAAATAAGAATCGAAATAAACGAATAGCTTAATTAACCAAGGGGGATATATATAGAGTTCCTTGTGATTGATTTGTTTTTTGTTTGCCAACTGTTTTAATTGTTTATCATGACTTATTAATTAACGTTAAATTGAAATCTCGTGCATGGTTTATATTATCAAAAAAAAAAAAAAAATCTTTACTCATAAGATGATCAAATTCAACAACAAAGGATTCGCATTCCCAAAGAAAAAGAAAGAAAAAAATGTCCAGAACAACATCAAAATACAATACCAAGCGGCAAGCACACATGCTCATTAAAAAAACATCTTAATCAGTTTTCTATTCAGATGGTCTCTCAAAAGAGAAATTATTACACATCAAGACTCCACACGTAATAATTTCTCCTCTCAAAGAGCATAACAAAATTCTAGTAAAATGCATGGGTACAATTTTCCTATAATTTTATAGTATTTCCCATTTAGATTTCTAAATGCTTGCTTAAATTAAAATATTTATCATCTCTAGTAATTGTATGGCAGGAGATGCAAGTAGAATATCTTGTTCTTAGCCTACTAATTAATCACTAATTTTACGCTAAGATATGTTAAAATAATATAGAGAAAAAAATCAATGGCTACGCTACTAAAAATTTTTATTTTTCCCAGCACTTGTTATAATCGGCGCTGCAAATCTATAAGTTTGCACCGGTTATAACCGCTGTTAAATCCAATACTTCCTTTTATCTACCTGCCGGTCCTTAAACTGCTACGAAATGTCGTTGTAGTACATTGCAATTATAGCGGGGGTGCAGCGGTTTTAATACTGCTGCAAAAAAAGTTGCGACTGTCATAACTGTTGGGATAAGTAAAAAATTGTGCTGCGATAGTCCTATTTTTTAGTAGTAGCTAGGATCGATTATTCGGGTTGGGTTTTATTTAGATGGTATATATCATAACAATGGTATTAACTATAAACTAAACAAATATATCTTCTTGAAGTATGCTCCTCTTATGCTTCCAATATGAAAATATACAATTAGAAGTGCATTAAGTTTATGCGTGTGAAAGTATCTCTCTTATATACATTATTGAGGCTTATCATAGTTTATTAACATTCCATCCTCTTGTACTAGTCAAATACCAAGCAAGAAGCTTTTTATATATATATATACTTATCATGAAGCTCGATTAATAGTTTTTTTTTTTTATAATAAGTAGCCATTCATATAAAAATTAGAAGTGAAGAAACGTTTGAGGACTAAAAAACAATTTTAGAAAAATATTAGTCAGGTGTAGCAAAGCTTAATTGAGACGTTCTTAGAGCAATATCAATAAAATAAGAAGGTTGTTATTTTTGAAATAACGTTTCTTCAAGGCAAAAATTTAGCTTCAGTGTTCAAATTGGAAGATTAACAGCCCAAATCTTCTCAGTAGGTCCTTCCTCTTGTGGTTTGAGATATAGGGGTCAACACAGTAATTAATCTCTATTGGTGCTTTTGTATACCAAAACCTGTCTCAAATTCTGATTAATTAGTTATTATCTTCAACATTGGAGTAAGAGAGAGGAGAGAGAGAGATTATATAGTTGATTAATTAATAATCTTCGGGGTTCTATCATGAGATCTAGATTACTGTTAATTAATTAAAAACAGTTAAGCTGGGGCGAGAGAGAGAGAGAGAGAGAGAGAGAGAGAGAGAGAGAGAGAGAGAGAGAGAGAGAGAGAGGATTATATATATAGTTGATTAAGAATCGTCAGGGTTATATGAGGAGATCTATATTACTGTTATTAATTAAAAATAGTTAAGCTGGGGCGAGAGAGAGAGAGAGAGAGAGATGATCCCCTCTTCACTCTATTCCATCTCTCTTCTTATCCAGCTAGTTGACTTAAAGTTTTAGCAGTCATGTACTGCTTCCACCCTAATCAAACAAAGTAAAGAAAGAGTAGAAGAATAGAAAGAAGAGGGATTTTTTTTTTTCTTTTTCAGCTCTATCAAGAAAGATTTGATTGCCATCAATTTATTTGATGAAATAAATCAATTACCTTGGGTAAGGAGACCCTTTGATTGGCTTTTGACCATATTTCCTCCAAGCCCATAGATCAGAAGGGACAACCTCTCCACTTGGCCTACCACTTGCTGCAGCTGGAGCTGGGATGCAAACCACCTTCTTTGCTTGACTTTTCCTATAATATATCATGTGTTATAGGAAAAAGTAGAGACAGATATCCGAATATTTTTTTAAATATTTCGACTTAAAATGGTTGCAGATCTTATAAGCTATAACAAGTGGTGTCATAAAGAGAATAATCCAATTTTAGTTGAAAGAGATTGATTTCTTTACATGATAGAGTAATTTGGCAGCAAAGGTTGAGTCTTTTTCCCTCTTGTTTGTAGTATCTAACCTTTGTATCAGCTATGAATTGTGACCACATGAAAACAATTGAGGTTGGCTTATCTTAAAAAAGGGAAAATGGATGCCTCTTCTTTCCCACTCAAATTTACGTTCTTCTGCCTGTCATTTCAGACAAGATTTAGTCCTATTACATCAATACCATCAAAGCCCACTTCTTCTTTCCACTTCAATGTGAATGAGCACTCTAAAATTTCCGTCATAATTGGAATAAGAATGATCATAATGAACTAAGTTCATATAACACACTTTCTAACTAACGATTAACTGATATAATTAGCTTAGCTACTAAGGATTGATGAACCAACCTTCTCTTAATCCCTGCAATTAATCTTGGTGATGAGATCTCGACCGGGCCGCCGCCCCCGGGTGCTAATAGTTGCGGGGGTCCGATCACCGGTGACCCCTTTCCCTTCCCCAGAGAAATCTGAGGCATTCTTGCGAGCAGACTTCCGTTGGGCCGATTTCCTTCCTCCCAAAGCATCTTCTTCTGCACGCCGCTGGCCTCTGTTGAGTCGAAGAAGCTTGTTCGAGCCAATTCATGGAGCAGTGGGTCTGCCGCATCAGCCAAGGAGTCTCCTCCGAACACTTTGTCATCCAACCTCGGGAAGACTGCGGATGGCTCCGGAAGAAACTGCCAACTGTTGGCGGCGCCGAGCAGTTCGTTGGCGGACTCCGGCGGGCTGATGAGGCCTCGGTTTCGGACGATGTCGGCGAGGTCTCCTTGGCTCTTCTCCATCCTTCGATTGAAGTAGTCACACATGATCTTGCTCAGTACTGATCAAGTTGAGGAGGAGTGGGAAATGTTTGAGAAGCTAATCGATCAAATTAAGAAATTAGCTTCTTTTATAAGATCTTCCTTTTGACCATGCTAATGGAATTGCACATGAGCAGTAGTGGAAACAAGCATCTATCTAGCCATCTAGTAAACTCCTTTCTGTTCTTCTTTTGCTGGCTTTCTCTATCCTACCTCGAGGGGAAGAACAGGATGGCGATAAGTAGACACAGTGGGTGAAAAATCCTTGTAAAATCGAACTATTAGATTAATCTGAAGATGAGGAGAAGAGGAATTGAGAGAGAGAGAGAGAGAGAGAGAGAGAGAGAGAGAGAGAGAGGTTTTTTAATATACTTGACGCTGACTTTTTCATATACCATGTGGACTTCAGACGCAACAAAGAGGAAATGGCTAAGAGGAAGGGGCCGGCAAAAAAATTAAAAAAAACCTCTTAGCTACCAATAATTTTATGTAGTCCAAAACTTTCAGTCTAATTTTAATTTGATTTTTCATGTTAAAAAATATTTGGCATGTTCTTTAAAATTATAATCATATTATTTACGGACAATTTTATTTTAATCGATAATCATTAATTAATACATTAAAAAGATTTTTAGGTGAACGTAATTTGTGAGTTTTTTACATAAAGCATTTTAGTATCTTATCCATTTTATAAGGTTTTTTGGTTAATTAAATTAAAAATATTTTCACATTAAAATAATTATTTTTCATATAATTTTTATTAAATAAAAAAAAAACAACTATCCTACATTTTACGAATAATTTGTGGTGAAAAAACTTAATTAATACATACTTTTGAGAGTTTTGGTCAATCATTTTGAGCCAATTTTTTCCACACTTGAGGGTGGGAGGAGAGAATCATCGAGAGAAGATGCATTGGCCGGTTGGTAGTTATAATTCATACAGATGGGAGAAATTATTCTGTGCAGACATTAGATCGTTTAGGGACGAATTAGAATATGCCACGTCACCCAGTACACAATGATACATAACCGCATTACATGCATAGTAAAAATGATGTGACATATTTTGATTCGTTTTTGGACACCGTCCATATCTGCACAAAATAATTTCTTCATAGATGGAGGGTTTTGATTTATCTATTGGAGAGATTTAGCAGCTTATTAGGGCTGAAAATGAATCAAATGGAGCTGATTAAATATTATTAAGTTTGTTTGTTTATTTTTTGATAGGCTAAATTTCAAATATTTTAAAGAAATTTACCGTATCAAATTCAAATTGTATTTAACATAGACTATCTAATTATATCAAAGATACTAATAATTTAATTAAACAAATAAAATTATTATTATTAGTTAGATATGCTTTTATAGTTCTTTCATAAATAATAACAATAATTTAAATCGTATTGCTTTTAATATTTTATGAATAATAAATGATATTTTAATCTTCTCATCGGAGTATTTGTTTAATATCTTTTATTATCAAACATTTCTTACAAATAAAATTAGGATTTAATTATTATATCCATCTTGTATTTATTTAATCTTTTTCTTTATTAAATCCTAATATAAAAATAAAAATAGATTTAAATTTATGCAGATAGCTATCTAGTCATTTTTTATCATATTAATATTTTTTTATAACATAAATAGCTTTTAAAGTTTCTAATATTTAAAATTTGATATAATAATACAGAATAAATTATTTAAATACACTAAAATGTTCAATTTTATGTGAAGAAGATAAATATACATAAAAATTCAAAGTAGTCCCCAATTTATTCATATTTCACTCATTTAGCCCAAAGTATTGCCCCAATTGAGTCCTACGACTATACGAAATTGATCAAAAATATTCCAACATGTTTTAATTACGATATGAAATTGATACCAATTTATTTTCAAAGGGGTCATTTTGGATCAATTTTGTATAGTCGATGGACTAAATTAAAACAACATTATACTTTAAGACTAAAATAACCATATACAAATAGTCGATGGACTATTTTAAATTTCAACATTTTTTAAAATGATTTTTTTTTTCAAAAAGGACAAAAAGGTTATAGCTTAGGTAAAAATAGTCAAGCCACACACCCGAGGCAGCCAAAGCAAAAAACAAATACAAAGAGAACACTGAAATAGGGAGAAGAAGGGACAACACCCTTCAGGCACAACAAAGGCCCAGACAACGAACCACTCCAAATTCAGGCACGGACCATCCATAGGGGAGAAAGAGCCCACCAAAAGCCAACCAACCACCATCATCGCTAAGACGAAACATCACCTAAGATTGCCAACTAGCCACAGATTGACGATGAGCATGAGCCACATCATTGCCTAAAAATCGCTCGCAAAATTCGTAAGACCAACATAAAATATAACCAGAAAAGGCAACAAGAATCCGCAGAAAAGGGGGCAACACAGCAGCCACCGCACAATTATTTTCGACCACGTTTACCCCTCCCATGAGAGGAAACAGAAACAACAGGGCAGTCCTTGAGTAAATCACACTTTACAGCATGTTCATCCTCCCCACTAGCCTCTGAAGAGGAATCAGACGAAACTTGGAGCCAATCAATTTGCAACCTAATCGCCTCCCCCGAATTGGCACCCACATGATCAACCAAAGTCTTAGGAGATAAAAAGTTAACCGGAACCTCAACAAACCGACCATTAACGTGTTCAATAGGCGTAACAAGGGAATCAGCAACACAGGCAGAACCCACATTCACCAAGCCAACACAAGATTCATCCACTCGGTCAGGGCAAAGCTCAATAGGGTTGCGAGACGAATCCGAGAACTCAGCCACATTAGGCTCAACAACCCTAAGCAAACAAGACGGAGCAAACACAGCACCCAAATAGGATAAAGCGGAACTGAAATTAACAACACAACCCAAATGACCACCTACACTAGCACAATCCCGAGAACCCTGAACAACAGGCAAAACCCCACCCACCACACCTACAGAAACAACAAAAGGAGAAACAACAGCACCCTCACCACCAGAACCCAAACCGACCACAGGTAAAGGGGACAATGTTGCATCCATCAACAAGCTTTTCCACATACTCAACATTCAGAGAGGACTTATCTAAAGAAACGACCAACTGCACATTAATAGCATCCTCCACCGCAGGCAAAATAGGATTTATAATCTGAACATCCTCAGAGGGAGAAGAGGGAATAATCGGTTCTGGATTTACCAAAACCTTTTGAGAAACCTTACACAGAGCCGAAACATCAGCCACCAGACGACAGTTACTAGGAAAATGCCCAAATTTTTTGCAAACAGAACAAAAAGGAGGGAAATCCTCCAAAACCACTTGCTGAACATATTCAGATTTTTCAGGACCTAACCAGACCTTATCGGGATAAGATTTCGTAACATCCAACTCTACCAAAACACAAGCTAAGGACGGCCTGGAACCAATAGAGGTAGCGGTATCAATTTTAAGAGGTTTGTCAAAGATCAAACCCACATGAAGGATGCGGGGGGGG